CATATGAGCAGCAAAGAGACGTTCTTAGACCAGATGTTACAGATTTAAACAAAGACGGAAGCACAAAAACATCAAAATTAGCACAGAAACAGTACTATATAACATTTTAGACACATTCTAGACAGTTTATCAGCTAAAAAAAAGTTAATTTTGGGGTAAGTTACTCTTTAAGTTTTAAGCAACTTGGCTTCGTCCTCCGACATGGTCCACGTGTTGCTTATATCCCGATCTTTATCTCCAATCCACAACAGAAGAAAACTGCATTTCTGCTCCTCAGTCTTTCTTTCCAACAGTCCTTTAAACATTAGCTCGGCGTGTTGTTTGAAAAGACGCCACGCGTCTGGCAGGTTGGAAGACTCCCACTCCATCCGCGGTGTTGGAACGCCAAAAGCTTCCATCTTTCTTTCTGTTCCACAGTAATGCGTTGCCTTTCTCCATTTTCATGTGGGTCCGTGAATTATTGACACCATGTTTGTGTCTCTGCTTATCTATAATAAATTCACCAGTACTCCAGTGTTGACGGTAGCGCCCACCATTTTTAGCACGCCCAGCCTGTCTGAGTGTCTCTGGCTTACTGTTTCAGTGATACAAATAAACACATTTAATTGTTATTATCGTTTAACTGCAAAAAAATGAAACAGTTCTTCTCAAACAGACTGCGCATGTGCGATAATGGCAGATCAATTTTTGATAGGCAATCACTTTTCGACACAACACCGGCGTATCGATTTGCGGTGTAGCACAGAAGATACCCGTCAAACTACGAAACAAAATAACCGCGAAGTGACACCAGGAGACCCCAACGAAACAAAAACATAAATTTACGGTTTAAAATGAAGCTTTTTATTTATTTTATTGATTCAATATAAAGTATATTAGCGTACAGAATCCCAGCTCTCTCATTCCCGCTACATCCCGCTGAGCTTCGAGCGGAGCAGCCCTGCTAGCTTAAAAACATTCTTAATGCGAGCTTATTTTACTAAACACATTAACTGTAACGGAGTGTCTGTAAAATGTTACACCTACCGGTTCAAGCTCGTCTTAAAGTTGCGCTCAAAGATTGAAACAACCAGCGACTAATGAGAAAGGGAAAGAAGAGGAGGAGCTTGTTTTTTACGCACGGTCCTGAGGACAGGAGGAGGCGCGCGCTGTATCATCATCATCATCATCATCATCATCATCATCATCATCATCATCAGGTGATGTGCCAACACATTACAGAGAATTTGCTATATTTTTAGACACTTTGTGTAAATAGAAGCCTGTCAGAATGACAAGAATTGCTACTATATAGTCATGTGGCCCGCGGGCCTTGTGTTTGACAGTTTTTCGGTTGTAGAAAAAGAAACGCTGGCTTTGATTCTTGCTCTCACTCATTTCGACGTTTACTTAAGTGGTGGTAATAAAGTGGTGGTTTACACAGACCACAACCCACTTTTTTGGAATGCCCCGGTGAAAAGCAGGAAGTGATGTTTGATGAGTGTTTTTGTCTGTAGCTGCTTATTTCATTGAGCGGAACAAGTAAGTGCCTGGTATCAGTAAATTACACTAAGCCAGTCAAATTTTTTTATTCAAASTTTGTTCTCTGAGTCATGAAGCCATAAAATATCTCACTAATGCCCAACTATGTACATGTTTCTCTGACTTACCCAGGTCTATGTGGCTTTGTTCAGTGAATTTCACCACTTAAATACAGGTTTTAGACAGAGAGCTTGTAGCAAAACAATGAAAAAACAAAACGGCAGTCTCTCTAGAGGTGTAAACTTTAACAAAACTCCAACAAAAATTAATTAGTTTCACAGCATGTAGGAACAGAAGACAAATAAAACAAGCCCATGTTTCAGTGCAATTTTTCAATAAATTAAACCAATTAATTGGTGAGCTTTCTGTGCACACTGGCAGCAGAGACAAGAATATATTCTTTTTTTGCACAGCAGGGGGCGCTATATCAGTTTAAAACCTGACTGAACATGAGGAACTTATTACAACCTAATAGTTCCCACAGAACTTCTGCAGCAGTATTTTATACTGGGCCAAAGATTGTAAACTTAATATTCTAAAGCTTCTGAACACTAGAATCAGTGTTTTAAATCATCTTTATGCAAAGAATAATCAAGCTGTGAAGATAATTTACAAAGATATTGTAGCTTTGAGCTTATTTGTTTAAATTATACCACATATTACTGCAGTTTGTCTTATAACTGAAGAAATCTAGCCTTTTCCAAATACTAAATTAAATAGTTTTTTCCTTTCAGTATTTACAAACAAGTTGAATAACATGAAAAAAAAACCCAGTATAAATATAAAATCTACCAAAACCACAGTAAAACTTAAAGTATTTTCATGTTTTTTAGATTTATTTTATTTTATTTTTTTAGCGGTATGATGTCATTTCCTCTTTGTTCACTGGTTGTAAAGATCTACAGTCGCCTGTGCTTCTGTTTTTGGAGAAAAAAAGTATAATGAGTAACTATTTTGACCTGAAATTTCCAGTGAACTGTGTCTAATGAATTAGTTCATCCCCAGTAAGTGAAAGTAGATGTTTGGTGTGTGTGTGTGTGTGTGTGTGTGTGTGTGTGTGTGTGTGTGTGTGTGTGTGTGAGAGAGAGATGGGAGCTGATCCATTATCTGGCTTTGGGCAGCCGGTTGTTTACGCTCCTCTGATTGGTCAGGTTGTTCAGGACACTGTCGTTAGCCAGCGGAGTCAGTTTAGAGTTCATCCTGTTCTCTTCATCCTCTGCGTCCCCTCCCTCTCCTTCTTCGTCGTCCTCGCTCTCTGTATCGCTGCGCTCATCGCCCTCGATCTTCAGAGGAAAGTTACAAGTTGGTCCTTGAAAGCCACAGCTGCCATTTGCTGATGTGACAGCACTCACCTTGCCACTGAAGAGAAACTTGAAGGCCATCCGCACAATGTCGCGGCCCCAGATGATGTGCAGCACTTGTAGCACCAGGAGCAGAGCGTTGAAGAAATAATAACCGAAGAAGGGCTGGTAGAACTCCATGGACACCAACAAGGTTGTGTGGATAAGTCTGGAAAACAAAACAAAACAAAAAAAATAAATAAATAAATGTGATCGCACATTTTTGTATGATTATGTCTATAAATATTTACAGTTAAAACATTCATCTGTGGCGGGGACAGCTGAAATAACCAAAACGTTAGCTTCACTAACCTCTAAACACAAATTACTTACTACTGTGGACAAAAAATAAAGGAAACTAATGCTAAACTGTTGATATTTAGCACGCGCGCAGGTTGTTTTACACGCTAGGAATGTGCGATATAAACGATATACGGTAGGAACGATATAAATTTGGCCTGTGATAGAGATCTGTAGTCTACCGGCTGGAGTCAAAACAGAGGAACCGGGAAGCAGCGTAGTTGAGAGCGTAAAGGAAGAGCAAAAAGTTGCAAAACATAAATTATCTGGACCTGGTTCGGGTGTGCGAAAATGAACGCCGAACTGTTTACAAATTTACATGACGGCGTGTCGTCCGGTCGGCTGCCGAGCGACCACACTGCCTGCAGTGGGAGGAGCGCAGCACATGTTACGGTCACACAGCGAGGCGACTGCCAGTGCAGGTGAAGTCAGTGCTCCAGTGGGACGCACAAAAGCTCGCCGAATCTAATGGACCTAGTTTCTCCTGCGGTCATAGCGCGATGCTGTCTCAAGTTGTACAGCGGGGAAGTGCTGTGGGAAAGGGTGACAGTGTCTTTCAAAAAAAAAAAAAAAAAAACTAAAGCATAAACAAGATGATTGTCACCCCGCCGGAGTGCGCACAGAGTAAACATGTGGAGTGCAGAAAAAGTAATTGCAAAGTGTTTAGAAAGGAATAAATACAAACAATTTCTTACTTTTAACACCTTAAAACAAAGCTGGTGATTCCAAACACAACATCCAATGGATGCAGATATCTATTACATTACAATTACTGTATTTGTGTGTGTG